GTGATGTACGGGACTCGCAAAAATACAGTTGACTTGATTGCGAGTGTCACTGCATGGATATTTATCATTATGAAATACGGTACTTGTAATAATACATACTTATGTCTACCTATACTTACTAACTATATGTTATGGAAGAACTGAGAAACTACATTTTCCACTTCATTAAACAAATACCATTATGAGACCAATTTTTCGCTATTCCTCGATATTCTCACCAGCCACTGTCTGTCTATGCTTGAAGTATGGCCTATTGAAATTTAGAGCTGCGCATACTTTTGTAAATAAAACCATGTAATTAAGTATGGTGTAAAACAATCTAACTTATCTAAACGCATGGCGTTCCACAATCTATTAGTTTTTGCGCAATTTCCTAAAACAAAACTAGCTGATTCTGTCTCTAGTCTTGTTTCCCACTATTACGACTTAAAACATCCATAAAACTTAAGTAATACTATGGATATAGGAAATATTAAATATGTCGTTTATATAAAAAAGTGTTAACATCGTTTTTTTTATTTTAAAATCAAAGTTTGCGTGAGTAAATTGAATACAGTAAGAACGGTGTTTCTTTATAGAGTGCGCGCACACCATTGACAAAAGCATCGGACAAATGTTGTGATTGTCGATTGTTTCGCAGCCCATTCAACTGTTTAGTTACACAACTAAAAATCGAATAGTGCGCAATATAAGTATATAGGAATCGAAGCGCGATTAAATAGTTGTGCGATAGTTCAGTCAAAGTTGTGCGCGTACTTAAACGATATAACGGCGTTACGCCGACGCAATCTTTATCGACCGGTAGAATGAATTACTTCTAATCGCTTTAGGAATTCCATCTTTTTGCGATTTCTTGCATAATAGGAAATTTCCATTTTAACTAATTGACTGATAAAAAAATAACAACGATTGTAAGTAAATAATACGCGTATTGTATAAAAGGAAAACGGCAATTATCTACTGTAATATATAGCACTTTGGAACATTTTATGATATTACTAAACATAAGTGTCTATACAACGTTCATAATTATAAACAAAACTTCTAGGACTACGAAAGAATTTTTTGAAATAAATCTAAAGTGTACTTCGAAATATACACTCTTACATCTTTACTAGCTTTCTCCCGTGACTCCGTTAGCGAAAAATTAAAAAAAGTATGTGGCCTATGTATTCTTCCAGACTATACTCTATATGAATGTCAAATTTTATCGAGATCGCATTTATAATATTAGTAACATTAGGATTTTTTGTCAAATTTTTCTATGAAATTAGCAACAACATTAACTCTATTGTTTTAAGATAATTTTAACCTGTGTTCAAAAAAATCATAAATTCCACAGACTATAAAATGAAAGGTTATAGAGAAACCTGTAGAAATAATTCACAAGTCTCTACGTAGTGGGTAACCTTGGCGCGTGGGCAAGGCATAGGAAAGGCTTTGCTCAGCTGTTACACCCACCAACATACTCCATCATTGACTCATACATTTGCATATTCGCGTAAATTTATATTGAATGAAAAGAAGCAAAAAAACATCTTCGTTTTCTTATTTATGTATTGTATCTGAAAGTTAAGTTACGCAATATTTCTATCAAATAACTTTGTCTTTTTTACTTATATTAAAGGGGAAAGATTTGTATTTTTGAACATTTGTATGTATTGAAATAAGTGAAAACTTACTGGACCGATTTTAAAAGTTCTTTCATCATTCATCATCCACTTGCCCTTATCTCTTAGGGAGGCTCGGCACAGTATGTGCTGCTCTTCCATACATCTCTATCAGCCGTCATATCTGAATCCACTCCTTTCTTAAGCATATCCTCTTTCACACAATCCATCCACACTTTCTTCGGTCTTCCTCTTCTTCTTTCATCATTAGAAAGATAATTTATCTATGAGTGTCATAGGATATATTTTTTATTTCACGTGGACGAAGTCGCGACCAAGAGTCAACAAATAAACTATTTTCTACAAAATTTTAGCAATTGACATAAAACTTAATTTATTATGTTTATTTTAACTTTAGCCCATGCGCTCATTTTTGACAGTTTTAATCGAACATTCAAACTGTACAATTAAAATTGTATTATTATTTAAAATGTACAGTGCAATTGACAATAAAATTTTGCATATATATCAGCATCAAACGCAATCCATACATTTTTCTCAACATATCACGTAAGATACTTATCATTGACACTAATTGAACAATTGAAACATTCTTACTTTTAGATACACTGATCAAATCATTAAAATATTTAATTAAAATCAATGATTCATTGTTGCATTACAAATTAATGATGAGTCATATAATCATTGTTCTGTTTGTGGTCGCATCAGTATTGTTTCTATGTCGTGCTCTTCAAGACCCTCCATGAATTTGAATTACCTATT